AACGTAGAAACTATGGAAATGGCCTGGGTCACGCTGTTTCCAGCACGTTGCATATTTTCATGTCCATCAAAACAAGTTTATTTAAAGTACAAAATATTCAAGACCTGGACTACACACAAAAAAAAATCCCACAGAAATTAAGTGAAAATTCTGAACATTTTTCAACTATAATTTTAATTAATGGAAATATCAAGAGCAGAATCTTTCATAAATTATGTGACTTCAAAGAAACCTATGGAAACATGGATCTCCAAACTTTCAGCCACCAAACTTGTGGGTGCCTGCTCAGCCTGCCTGCTGCTTAATCCACAGTAGAGAAGTTCACTAGAGACACACAAATGGAAAAAGCCAGAAACACGGGACCTGAGCAAGAAGCTGGACAACAGAACAGGCAGGTGGGCAAAGCATGAAGCAAAGCAGTATGGACATGGCAGCTGTCTGATCCCCTGCACTTACAATGCAACAGGGCCAATAGGCTCCTGTGCCATTTCCTTGCAGTCCTCCTAATGAAGTGACCCATAATTGAGATTAGTAAGGCTTGTGATAATAAAAATTGCCAAAGATGATTTTCCCAGAACTCAAAACTGAATGATGCTTGATTGGTATTTCAAAACATAACATAAAAAAATAATAAATCACCAAATCTACAGCTTTTAGGTTATTTTCTTGATCCAAGAAATACACACTACAGCAGGACCTGGCAGTAAAAACATAAGAACATTTAAGGGCACATTTTTGTATGAGTATTTTTTATGTCGAAAGCATAGCTTCAAAAAACTCCTTCATGTTTAAATATGTGACTGCTTTAAATGAAAAGTTAGTGCTTGCTGTGCTGGCTTCTCAAGCTGTTATTTTATGCCTTAAGCCAAATTTAAAAGAAGCAACCCCAGAGTGTAACATCAGCTTGTCTTCACTTACAGCCTTGTTTCATTTGCATTCTTTCAACAAGGAGCCGTGAAACATTAAGCAACCTGAATAATATTTCTGACTTGTAACAGCAACTTGGACGTGAATTATCCTCTGATTACTCACATTACAACAAGGCTTCTTTATCTTAAAAGTATTCTGAGTGCAGATAAAATTAAATGAGTTAAAAGTACTACCATTAAACACAAAAATACTATTACACTCATCATTTATAAGTCCAAACATATTGTATATTTATGTAAAGTCCATAGATACTGTAATCAGTAGCCGGACCATGTGTTTTTCATTAGAAGTCTTTAAGATAAAACACCATGGTAGAAAAATAATTAAATATTGATATAGAATTACATATGAAGGGAATCATCCACCTTTTTCTTTCTTTTTTTTTTTTTTTTTAAACTGTGTGCTAGAGAATTGAGTATACTTCTAAAACATTATTTAGGTACACAAAGCTTCAGGCAGAAGCACACTAATAACGTATGGAGGAATGAGGTCCTGCTGGGACTTCCACACCAACAGTGGGATTGAAGGGGGAGCCCAGATGAGCCAGCACAATGGCAGCTGGCTTGCTAAAGGTTTGCAAATATTGATCGTTCCACAGTATAGAGCTACACTTGCAGTAATGAGGGATAAGACCTGTGCCTTGATAACAGTGAAAGCAAAAGCCAGTGTCATTGATATACACTGCAAGCCATACTGTGTGCTGCAGCCAGGAGGGACACTGGTTATTAGGCTCTGCTGCGGGACACAGTAGTATGATCCGTGGCTCCCTTACAACAAAGGCATTGGAAAACACTAGGATGCAAACTGAAAGTATTACTAAGAACATAGAAGTCTAAGTCTAAAAGAGGGTGAAATGTATGCTTACACATACAGTTTCCATGGTTTTAAATCACAGTGCTCTTGCTCACCAAGTTTCAGAAGCCACCCCCCATTCATCAACCTTTTTGCATTTCTGGAGAGCTGAAGGGAGACGATGAAAGGTTAAAGCTAGGAGTCTGGCTGAAAAATTCTTTAACAACTTCTGAAGTTTTAACGCAGCATTCATCAATATTTCTACTCTCTCTCCACCTTTCAGATTCTCAGCTCTATTTTGTACTCTTAATACTGAACTATGCTCCTCAGAGTACCATCCAGACCAAAGAAATCTTTCTGTTAGAGCATCAGCCTTCCTTTGTGAATGCATGAAAAACACACTAAGAACTCTCTACTAGGAGACCCCCTGCTTTTCTGCACATTGGTCATCTGCAAAGAGAAGAGGGGAAGTGAAAAAGGGAAGCTGGATGGAGAATGAAGTTGGATGGAGAATAAAGATGGCTGGGAAATTTTAGCAAAACTTTCTCCTGAAAGAGAGATTCAAAAGTGTCAAAAGCTTTCATCAAACAGAAGTGATTGATTTTCTTCTTCCTTCAGAGGAACGTCGAGGAGTCCATGAATTCCTTTGATGATTTCAGGTGGAAAAGTCTTAGTGAAGTTAGGCTCAACACACCTTTTTTAAAAGTACAAAATGGATAATACTGAAGCATAGCATTTGTCTAAGTCATGCTCTTACACTCAGTTTGAGAAACAGTGGAAGCCACCTCACTGTAGTTGGGATGGAGTTTTTTAAATTCCACATTTCCACAACGCAAAATCCATTCTCTGTCAGCACTGGCTAATAATCTCCCCTTCTACACTATGTATCAGGACGCACCCCAAAGGCAGCTATAGGTACTTTTGAGTATGCTTATATGGCTTAGGAGAAAGGCAGGAAGAAATCTCTCAGATACTCTGTTTCTGAACATCAAGCCTGGTTACAATTTAGGGAACAGTTTATCTTTGAGAATAACATTAAATGGATGCAGTTGCCACAGATCTGCTCTTGTCATCCTACAGCATAAACCATACACACACAACTATCAGACACAACCATACATTTCTCACTAGTCATAAAACATATTATTTAAGTTCCACACTAAAAAACCACAAGCACGAACACCATTTTGGTGGGCTGCAATAGTCCTCCATTTCTTTCGGATACCTGGGACCAAACAAACCCCACCAGACTATGTCAAAGGGTTAGTGGGCCACCATGTCATGTCTAGAAGAGGCCCACAGCCAGTACAAGGTAGAACAGATGCAATCTGTCAGTTATGGAGTAAGTTGATTATCCGGTGTGGAAAGGAAAAAGCACTACTTCATTTTGTGATTGGGAGCTGCTGTGTTCAACAGCCCCTTCGTACAAACATACATATGCACATACAAATAAAACCTCTAACTGTATGAGTGCATGCTAAGGTGGTTCTGCAATTTGTTGCAATCGATTCACTCAGTGCTTCTACCACTGGAGGGAGTTAATTCTGGTCTGCATTCCGCATGAAGCATAACAGAGCACATACATTAAGCCACAGTTAAAGACACTCATACAGCACCGGCACACCTAGCCACTGTATGTCTGGTAGATCAAAAGAAAAACAACATCAGAAATGCCCATTTCAAAAGATACACAGCAAGGGATAAATACTCCCTCACATCAGTATTATTTTAAGAAACTTACTGTGTATGATTTTCAAAATGATATCTTTATAAAAAGTAGTGGAAAGATTTCCTCCATTTTTAAAAATAAACCAAGAAACCACAGCAATTTCCTGAAATTTCAGCTTCAGCTTTACACTTCTGTTCCTTGTGGCTCCAGTGTTAATTCGTTTTTCCATTCTTGATAACTAAGATGCTGTTCATACTATTTAATGAATTTTCAGGAACACATTTACCTCTGTTATCTATTTAACCAGACTATAAAATTTATTTTAAATTAATGAAATTTAATTATCTAGCATTCACTATTTAATACAGTTCTGTTGTGTATTTATGTTAAATGGTGTATTTTCAATGTTAATTCTATGTAATTAAAATTATAACCTTAATTGTACGTAAGGTTTGGACAGGGCCCTCGGTAAGATGCTGCAACTGTTGGTTAGCCCTGAAGTGGTCAGGCAGAAGGACTACATGACCTCTGAAGTTCTCTATTCCTACTATTCTATTTCTATTACTAAAAATGAAGCAGATAAAGCAACGGTAGAAAGATAAATCTATAAATAGATACTGGTTTCTACCTGGTTCCCTTAGGAGGCAATATTTTCAGCACATGGAGGTGTGTGATTCTGAGCTGTGAGAATTGATATATTTCTTATATTTCAAATAAATCAATATTATAAACTGCTCTGCTTAATTGCTTACAGGTGTATCTCAATTAAAACCCATGAGGATTTTACTCCATTATTTACACACAAGTAATTAAGCACATAATCACATTTCAAGCAGCTTAGACTCAAACTTCTATGGAGCCTTAGACTCCTAATAGAAAGAAATATTTATTTCATATCATTTTCAGTAAGACAGTTCTAGTTAAATCACTTCCCTCTGCTGGGGACAGACCCAAACCCAATTGTTCAGAGCCAAAAATTATCAGCAGTGCATAATTCCTGCATCCCCTAGAACACAAGCAGCTGTTTTCAGCCTTGTTTTCAGTTGGCATCTAGAGGCAGTGCCACTAATTAGCACACTTTTCTAGCAAGCTGATCACGCAAAAGAGGCTACAGAAACAAAACTCTCTTTCAAAAGCAATGCCTGAGGACTGCAGAAAAGTAGCACAGAAATTTGTGGTCTTTAATAACAAGGCTCGTTCTATATAGGGCACCTGAATTTCCAGGAATGTCCTGGTACAGCTGGTACATTTCATATGTGTAAAAGCTGTAATTCTTGAAAAGCTGCAGGACTTCATCTTTACCAAAAGGCTCATCAGAATGAGTGCAATCATAATTTGGAGTTAAATGGCGTTATTTTTTTTCCAAATAATTTTTAAATCCTTACTTGCCTTTTTGCATAGTGTGCCTGGAAAGTTGCATAAAGTGTGTTCTTGAGGGCTGCACCTAATTATATTGGGCATCCAGAAATAGGTGCATCTGACTCAGAATTTCTGCATGCTTTGCCAGCCAATCAAACCATAAGACATGCAAGCTATGGTTAAATTAAGCAATAAGACACCGCAAGCTGCAAGTTGTGACTTATCGGCACACAACACACCGCAAAGAAGATCACAACAGGAAACAGTTCTAAGGTAGTAGCTGTCCTCAGCCCAGCTAAGAATATCATCATTACTGTGGCTTTGTGCACTTTGAGTCAGAGGACCTACTATGCTGACCCTGAACATCACAAGAGAGGACAAAACATAAAATTAGGGTAAGTGCGCCAAAGCTGTGATGCCTTTGATTGCCAATTTTTGCCTATCACTGCTTACATCTTTATAAACGCAAGGTTTCTTGCTTGATAATAATCATTCTCTGTAGACAGAATCTTCAAGCCAGGTTGAAAACCTTTTTGACTCTGACAAGCATAGAGCTGGCATATAAACATGTAGCTAGCAATTCACTCCCATGCTTTGCCAATTAACCTTAACCTTTGCCTTACCTTAACCTTTAACCTTAACATTAGCAGATGGGGTGCTGTACTCTACAGTGGTCCTGGACATGTGGGCAACAATGATGACCCAAACAGAAACCACTCTTCTTCAGGTCTTCCTACTGAAATGTTTCCACCATGGCAAGATTTTACTTTATTCTCTTGTTATGACAGTATGGAGGGAAAATATGCAAATCAATTGGGCCAAAACTGGTGCCAGAGACTTCCAGAGAAAGTGCATTTCAGCAGGAGAATTTGAGGATATTTGTGTTCATGCCACCAAAGTAGTCATTAATAACTAGGAACTTGCACAAAGTTGCCAGGCAAAACACAAAACATAATAGTAGATTAATCCCCAGATATTTTCTGCCTAGATTTTAGGAAAGCTAAAAGTGAATATGACAGTAAGACACTGGGGCAGGGCAACTACAGAGCAATTATAGTCATTGATAACCACTGCATATACAGACAATAATGACAGCAATTCAAGGAAAATCCTATAAGTAACCCATTCCAATACTGACTCTCTGTTAGCAGCCACTTTCCATTGAACCATTACATCCTTGCTAATTCAGCCATCCAACTAGCTTGTAAAGTCAGTTTCTAAACAGGGAGCAGGAAATCTTGAGATTGAGCTGTAACTCTGAAGGGGTTATTTCAGTTGATAGCTACATGTCAAGCAATGTAGCAATAAATTCTAAGCACTGTGGTGACTTGACATCAACTGCATTATGTGAATAAATACCTTGGGTTTTTATAGATTGATATTATGAAGAACAGTCTTTCTCTATATTCATTATACAGCAAGCTCTGCTATTAAACGCTGCTTTGCGCAAAGGCTGCAAACATAATATACAATCAGCTATCAATCTAAAATATGCTTAAGAGCTATTTGAACAACTGAAGTATTTCCTATTGATTTCAGATTAGGAACATATCCACATTCCCACGCCTGCAAAGAACAATCATTTTCAGAAAAGAATAAAAGTGTATGTCGCAAAATATGTTATTTTGTACCACATCATTTTCCAAACTCTATGGTTACTTTTGTAGCAGTATTTTAACAACTACAATTTTAAAGGGAAAGCATTTTGTCACTTACAATCTCTGTTATTCATTGCAAATGGCTAGAGCAAAGATCCAAAAATGTTGCCAAAAGCATACTGTGATCCATTGCAGCTGCATATCAGTTATCATGGAATAGCCAGTCAATGCAGCACAAGCATTGTGTGAGTTGCACAAGAAAACAACAAAAGTGCTGACTGATAGAAACCTGGAGGAGAATTTAAGTTATACAGCACTATTAAGATAAAGGATCCTATTACTTCAGTGATATTTTGCTTGAGTAAGGGCTTCTGGATTTAGACTGGAATTAATGGCTAGTAAACAGCTTTCAGATTTGGCTTACCATTTGTACATGTTAAAGACTTCTCTATGCAGAAGTGCTAATGTTTGACTCAACAAACTGTAAGTCATGTTCTCTACTTTTTTAATGAGGATGGAAATGCATATCAGCACTTTATATGCACACACACACTCATACACATATATCTTTATATAGTTATATACTTGAACGCATCAGAGAGTTTCCAGAAAGCCCAAAACAGCATGCTGAAACTTTAAAGGACATAAACCACTGTGATAAAAGCTGTTCTGCTTTTTTACCTCTCAACAATGTCCATGGAGTCCTCTTGTTGGGCTGCCATTAACAACCCCTTCAGCTCCGATTCCATGGTTCTCTGATTGAGACTGGAGTTAATCAGAAAGCACCAAAGCAGTAAACGATCATTAGTGCCTGAGGAAAGCAACCAGGTACAACCAAAAAGAAGAGGCTGGCAGAGCATCTAAAAAGACACTCAAAGGGAAGTCAAATATCTTCACTTTGAATGCCTTTTTGGAAAACACCTGAATTTGGCTAAGAAGACATGGAAGCTTTTCTTGATATTTTCTAGTGGAGTAGGAACCTCAAGACACTCATTCACACACAATTAAAGGAATAAGCAGGTTTTTGCAGCGCTAGTTTAGTCCAGGATAAAAGAGACGACAATTTGGTTTGCTTGACTTTAAGGATGATGAAAGTGCCTGAACTAACAAGGATGAAGATTCAAGAAAGTCTGGGTTATCATTGTATTTGCTGGGATTATGTGAGCAGAAAGGCCACGCACTTCTTGCTTTCCAGGATATCTTCTGGTGTACAAAAAGAGCAAATGAAAGAGCGAACCAGAAGTCACAGTGTATACATGCTGCTTAATTAATACTATGTCTTCTGTGATCCATACCAGAACTGAAGCTGCAAACATAGAGGACACAGCCTACCTCTGGCACAGTGTGCATCAATTTTAAATGTCTGTCATCTCAATGTCAGAGAGTAAAATATCCTTCCTTCACTCCTGTTTTTGAAGAATTTATACATGGTTTTGAAAATTCGGTAGTCAGTCTCAAAAAGTCATGAAGACACTTTGCTGCTGTTAGCTCACCTGCAGCCTGTTATCCCTGCCATGGGCTGGAAAGCCATGCTGCCATTCTGCTTGTTCTTCCATCAGGCATCCACTTCTCTACTTCAGTGTCTTCAGGAAAAGCCAAGTAATGTAGGAAGAGCTTTCATTAATCACATGATACATAATTTTGACAAAATTGTTATGCAGTGAAATTCCCAGGTTATGCAACAATGCAATATCTGCCAAAACAAGCATCATTTTCAAGAAGTGATTAAAAAAAAAAAAACAACACAATTTTTGAAACAGATTTACTGAAATTAGGTAAGTTACAAATGCAGTTATGTTAGCCTGCTATTAATAGCTTAGAGTTGAATGAACAACCTTTCTAACATGTGCTCCTGAGGTTGCCAGACAAACTAATAGGGAACAGTTTCATTTGTTCTTTTTCCCCTTAATGAATCATGCAAAGCATACTTTCTGATTTTGTTACTTATAAATGCAATTATAATAATTAACTAGCCAGATGCTTTGTACAACTTGCTATCAGATGTTAAGATGAACAACTTTTTCCCTACGTGGTCTAGGAACAAAGTCCAGGCTGAGGACAGAGGTTACAGAGCCGCAGTAGTGAGCACTCAGAGCATCTGCTGAGCCCAGTCCTAAGGGTGCTGCAGGAGCTGAAACATGGGAAGACTGCAAGGGGAGGCTTTATCCTCCTGCCAGAAAACAGTATGAACCATACCCGTAGTGATTTGTTGCCGTCACCTGAACACCCTCTAGAGGTAGGCAAGGGAGTCCTGTTTGAAAAAAGAACACAGATCCTTCCTGGTAACAGCCTAATTTACCAACAACGCATGTCTGTAACAGCTTTCCTCTGATGTGAAGACAGAAGTTTTGTTAGTGAGCCATCACAACAGACCAAACACAGCAAACACCCTGTGTGCACACAGAATGCTGCTCTGCGGCACACACTGCGCTGGGAAGGACACCGGTTCTCAGCTGGATGCTTAAGAGATGAGTGGGTCTCACTAACAAACTTATCCCATTTCCAAAATCAAAATACAGTGCAGTTCTGTCTGACTCTTCTCTAACCTAGTTCAAAATCTTTACAACTGCTCATGTTCTCATCCAGGCTCATCTTCATCTCAGTCATAACTCACAGAGATTTGCCTCTTTTCTACTCAAGACAGAGAAAAATACAATTTTACCAGGGATGACTAAATGCAAAAAACACAGTCTCAATTTTGTAAAATCTAATTTCTTAAATAATGATAGCCAGACAATTATATATTTCAGATTCAGAAACGAATCTTAATTCAGAATTGCATCTGAAATGTCACTATCTGCACTGTCTCAATAATCTGAATTTTCAGTCACTATCTATTACACAATTTATGCTTAACTCCTAAAGCTGATGATAAAAGCAAGCCAAAAAGAATACCATGACCTTTCCCTGGAAGGAGGTAATTTACACATGCAGGCAGGCGAAAACATACTGGAGAGCAAAATTACACAAAGGATTTTTCAAATAAACTTCTCTTCTGACACTTACTGGTGTGATATCACACTTCAGTCTATTATGGATACTTCAGCTCCAGTTTTCCCATTAATGAACTGCAACCATAACAATGCTCAATCTAATTTTCTCGTATTTTTAGAGGTCTTTGATATTTTATAGATGTCATTAACTCAGCTATAGTTCCAAGGAGAAATTCCCTGGACAGGAATGAGACTGCTCTGTAGCAACCAGATTCCTTCCTGCAGAAAAAGTCCTTGAGAATTCTATTTCTCAACAAGCCAAAGGGCGTTCAGAAGGATGGGAATTTCCGATGTCCTCCACAGGTCTTCCTCAAAGTGTGCATGTAGCCATGTCATGGGGCTGTACTACTGGGACTCCATTTCATCCCTTCCTCTCAAATTGCCCATATGTGGTTGTTTCAAGCCATCTGTATTTGATGCTCAGATCACACTGTTTGGGGTTCAGTGGTTATTCTAACTGGATAGGAAATCAAATTAATTAATATGCACCTTATCGTGAAACAGAAAAAATATGGAAAGCTACTGCTTTAAGTCTAACTAAAAGCTTGGCAAATGACTTGAATAACAAGCCGACAATACAATCCTGTATTTACACGAGCTACCAGAACACATGCACATACACAGACCCCCAAAACACAACATTTAGCAAGGACAAGCGACCAGAAACACAACCAGGTAGTAAACAAAATGTTCATTATGTAGAAAAATGCTACTGATTATTTCCTCAGGTATGCACACAGGATAGTAGAACTCAATAGAAAACAAAGTAAGAATGAACACCGTGCTTTACCTATAAGTATGTTTAATAAACTAATTCACACTGGTACTTGTGCTTTCTCTCTACAGAAAGCAAAAAGAGAAAAAAAGGAAATTAAAAACATATTAATAACGTAAGATAAACACACATTGCTAACTTTACAGTAATAATGTGTCTGTCAAATGAAGTAGATATAGATGAATTATCTCACACAATTTTCCCATCTAGGTAATGTTTCTTTCCTCTGTACACTCCCACAATTGCACTCACCATCACTCTCCCTACAAATCGTCTCCAGACAGTGAAATCTCACGTGGAGTGCCCACATTTACATAATGTAACAGCTTCAACAACTTCTGGATAGGCCTTCAGCCCTCCATAGAAGAATTTCAAGTGTCTATAAAGCTTCTGAAGATATAAGTCTCTACTAAGATGAGTTTCACTATCATCCCTGACTAAGACTGCTTTTACCAATGTTCAGTTTGATCATTTCCACTAACTGCAACGTAAGTACAATTAACTACTAAGAACTCCACTAGAAAGTACATCTAAAAGCATTTTCAGGATGAAAATCAAAATTCCTTCTGCAGCACGCTTACTATTCAGGATCACCACCTGCCTCCTCACAGCCTACAAGAATCCCTCAATGCTCTGGCAAGCAGATAATCTGTGGAAGCCAAATCACGAGGCTAGTCAGCAGCCAGGGTGACCTCTGAGGAAGGCTCACTTCTTTCCAGACAGCCTCTCCAAGCATCAAGTCAAATTTATTGCTTCCAAGACTAAAGGGGGAGAGAAATACATCTATTTGAACAATTTTTTGTATTATATAAAAATTTACAGCACCTGAAGATGTTAGCAAAGCTGTTCCCCTTTTCTTCTAAACTCTGCTTCCTCTTCAGTCTACAGACGCAGTTATGAATAGGTCATTTTCTTGAGGAGAGAAACATCCACAAACAGACGAGCAATTCAGTAAATCACTGATGTGCACGTGTCCTTACTGCAACTAACTGTGGAGTGCACAGGAAGCATCCTGGAACCTCCCCAAAAGAACCATCACTTACTTCACATTGCTAATAAAAGCAGTCAGGTGGGCCACAGGCATGTAAAGTTTTGCCTCCCAGCTGCCCTTCAGGAGAGGCTCTGACACAGCTCTGAGGAGCACCCCATAGCTGCCAATACAGCTCTTGACCACTGCACAGCTACCAGCAGGGAGCTTGCTGCTTCCCTGCACAAGCTGATGAATGTTTCCTGCCACCAATAAGCATCCTTTTGCAAAAAGCACTAAAGGTCAAGAACATGCACTTCTGTATGGTGATGGTTTATACAACGCACACACACACAAAAAGGACTCTACAGGAACTATTATCAGCTGCACAGAAATGATAAAAGATGCAGAGTTTTGCTTCCACCATGTAAGTTTACAGCCCACTTCTAACCTCAGTCAGCACAACTTTCTCAGATGCAGAGAAGTGCTTTGCAAGCTGCTGAATTGGTTATGTGATGCCCTGGCAGCAATAAATCTACTCCAGAACAGGGCCATATGAAAAGACACAGCCCACTCACCATCCTAGCTCCTGTGCTCACACTGGCTTCACTGAGCCACCACCTGTCATGCTCTGAGGACACAGCAGTGCCAATACCAAAAGGATGTGGTTGCTAATCCAGACTGGTCTTCCAGGGACACTGCCCCGTGTTTCCAAACTCACTGTCAAACATGAGCAGCCCCGCACCTCCATAACTCTCAGAAGTAGTACATACAACACCATGTTTTGTCTTCATTTCCCCCAGAGTCCCTCTCAGGGATATTTAGAAAAGGGACAGCAGTAACTTTTAAGCACATTCCTGTTAACAGAGCACAGAAGAGGAAGATTTGTGCATTTGCGTTTAATAGGTACTTCTCAGATACCATGGTTATGGATGAGCTTCAGACATGCAAAGCAGTTAAATTTAATGCACTAGAAGAAGTTAGATGCTATTTCTGACTGAATGATCTCAAAAAGGGTGTGTGCAGATGCTCTCATCCGTGACCCAACGTTGTTTTTCTCTCAAAGCAGAAGGATTTTACTCTCTTGGTTTTGTCACATTTGACTAGTCACCAGTATGTCGACATTTGATATAACGAAATTAAAATAATTAAAACTCTACAAGAACTCCTGAAAGGCTTAATGTGTTCCCTTCTTTTAAGAAGGGAGCCTCAAAGCAAGGAGGTAGCCAAGATAAACAGAAATATATTGCTTAAATCACGAAGTGAGCAGGTACAGAACTTCCTTTCTTCATTACTCCTAATCAGTTTAAGAGCATGATTCATTTGTTAAACTTCATTTGATACAAGTTGTGGAGAAAAAAATTGAATTACCCACTGAAGGCACAACAGAATAATTAAAGGAAGTAGGTATTCAGTGCCTTTGAAAATCCATCTCTCCTCGAGAGAATGCTTATGTACATATTTGTGTCCATCTCCGTAAAGGAAAACATGCACGCTTATGCCTGAAAATCCTTGGATGAAGGCCAAGGAGAGAAATTCAGGTATGTGTAGCTGAGGACTGTACCCTCCTCTGAATCACCAGGCCCAAGCACACATACTAAAAAGTACTCCCATCTTCTTTCAAGTAGAAACCAGTGCCTAAGACTACACACTTCAGTGCCCAAAGTGATGAATGTTTTGCTGAGCTTCCTGTAACGCAATTACACTGCAACTCAGACAGCTAACAAAAGATAAATCTGCTGTTACACGGAAAATTGAACACATTTCTTGATCAAGTACAGATGAACTGTAAGACAGCCTTTCAACTTTAAATTGATATATAAAAGGAATTCTACTTTGACATAAGCATAGCAACTGCTTAATAATACTTTGCAATTGGTAAAACCACACAGCTGATGAATTTTTTGCCTTAACTGAGCTGCAGTGGCAATCCCTCGGGCAATCAGTCTGCTCTCTTACAGGAAACCTGCAAATCAAACTCTCAGTAATATCTCTCTCAGAAAACAGAAAGGGAAGATAATACACAGGTTTTCCCCAATTCAGTGTAGTCTACAAAATACGTATATAAAAGCAAATCTCAGTACGTCTGCATTAAAAATAAGAATGCATGCTCTGTTGTGTGAATGGTTTGCAAAGGGAAAGAACAAGATTTATTGTACAAAAAAAACCAACACACTAAAACATCTGCCTTATTAGGAAGAATGCAGCAAATAACAGCAATTCTGTTTACATGCTAAAGATTTTTCATTACATGGTACATTTTTTGTGTCCTACTCCTTCTTGTTTTATCTGCATGGAGACCTAGTTTTCCTTCAACTGAAATCTGTGGCAAATATCATTAATTCTCATCAGACTTAAAATTAGAGTAATGGAAATATGGCCACACAAAACAGGTGGACATTAAGTTTTGTCTGTAAGCTAACAAGAAACAACAAGCACTGACTTCTCAGTGTTAAAAGTTTACATTATCTAGGAATAATTACTTTTATTTTCCCTGTGTAACTCTCTTTTTCCCCTTAAACATTAATAAAATTACAGAACGTGTTTTTCCATTCTACTAGAGCTATCAAAAAAGTTTCCCTTCATTTTCATGAGTACTGGTAAATATATTAATGATGATTATTCTAATGAATAGTGAATGAATTATTAAAGATGGAATGACCTTCGGTATTCCATTTGATTGATGCTAGAAGTTAATTACAACTGTAGAAATTTTTTTTTTTTTTTTAAACTCAGTTCTACTTTTATCCTATTCAAGAAACGTAATTCGCCACAAACAACAGTATAGGGTGAATAGCTATTAAAAATACAGTCAAATTTGGAGGACTGGAAGCTCATCACAACGGCCCAACTATATAAAGTGAAAATAAATGTCATGATAAAGTCAAATACTGCAGAAACTTGAAAACTATTAAAGAGAAAAGGCTCCTAGCTCATTAAGCCACCACCTAGAACTGTCTCACAGGCAATTAAAATCTTCCTAAAATCTTCCAGGCAGTCTCTAAAGCAGCATATATATTCCAGGCATATAGTCTCTAAAGCTCCTTTTAGACAGCATATACTTAATGCCACATAGCGTATTCATAGATTATCCTATCCTTGGCCAAAGCCTATAAATCCAAGCAATATTTCTCACCATGTGGGGCCACAGAAAGTTCATCAAGATTCTTCACCTCATGCAAGACATTCAATAAACAAGACAAGAAAAGCCACTTCCAAGACTGACACAGAAAGAAAAACATATAAAAGGTACGATTGTAACCCCTCAACACAACACTAAATGCAAGGTTATAAAATGAGGGGGAAAATTACAACCATAAAGAAATATCTAACTTGCATCAAGAGTACAGTAGGAGAAGAGATGGAGAAGACTCCACTCAGGCTGTACATTTATTTAAAACCATTGAAGGCAAGTACTAATGTAATAGATGATCCGTCTCATTAACCACATACTGAACTCAATCTCATTTGAGAAATAAACATTAGGACAGAAGAAAGCCCATGTGCATAAGTTTTCATCAGTCCCAGCCCTGGTGACTTACCCAAAGTAAATCTTTCGTTCTCTTATTTCTAGAGAGTTGAGGAACAGTTTTGATTTTTATGGCAAAGCAGTATTTCTCCCGGACCACTGTTGTTAAAGTCGGAAAAAAAGGAGAGTACAAATGAGGGAACTGAAGAAATCAAGCCTGAAGAGTAAAACGTCAAACAATATTTTGCTAAGGTAAGTGAAAACCACTTCTTACGCACATCACATGATAGGTATTGCCAATCCTGAACATCCTCACATGGGCAACAATTCTCTCACAAAGACTGAACAAATACAGAAGTTATGCATTATGCAGTGCCCACAACCGAGTTCCAAGGACTGTGCCTGCAAACAGTGGTAGGAAACCACAGGAATGAAGCCTTGTTGACCATTTTATCTTCTCTGATGATCACATAGAAAGCACAAAGAGCTTTGAGGACTGATATATATGCGTGGTTAGAGTATGAGTGAGATGCACTGCAAAAGAGCATACAGGAAGTGAACATAAAAACCTAGGAAGTCCAATTAAGAGAAGAGTAGAGCTCTGCATCTGGTGCAGTCAAAAAAAACACCAACCAAACACCAACAAACAACAACACGCATCCATATGGGCACCCAGGAGCATCAGTGAAAAGGGCCTTTATTCTGCATGACTTCACACTGGGGCACCCATTTGTCCTCCTCAAGTGAAGCAACAAGAGATGGGCAGAAACTGGGAGAAACCCAGGAGAGCAACCAAGAAGGTCTGGGGCCTTGAGTATGTGCTTCAGATAGAGGTTAGGGAGCTGAGCTCATTCAGTCTGGCAAGGGAGTGATCTACCAGTCGACTGGCAGCTCACAGCAAGCCAAGCAACCTGTAACTCCTGGAAGAGAAACTGCAAGGATAAAGAAGTCATATCCTTCTTAACAGTGTCAAACGGTACAAAAAGGGGCATATGAGAGGTTCAGATTAACTCTCCCTCCACCTCAAATCCTCTATTTTTCAACAAAAGAGTCAATGCAGGCCCGCAAATGGTTCCCCAGCAGGGCCGTGGCACCTCCACCCAACATGCAAGACCTGTCCAGACAAAGATTGGTTGACATGAACAGGAAGAGAGTGTCTTCCAGTTGGACTGGAAAAATACCAGGATCCTCTCCAAAGAATGCTTCAAGGAGAAATGTGCACACATGCAGAATCACAGACTGCCCCAGATGGAACAAAATCCTGTGGATTTATACTGAAGTGCATCTAAGTGTTCACAATCATTCACTCCCTGAAAGAAAATAGTTATTAAACTTTAGGTGGCAGCTACAGAGCTTTAAATTTTTACTTCCTCAGTGCCTAATAAAACTAATGTGGCTGTACTACACCATTTATGTTGTCAACTCTGCTAACACTTGCTATTTGTTAATATCATACTGTTATTTGTTTAATAAATAAATAAATAAAAATGCATTGTTATCCTAACAATAGCAGGCCCTGGCTCTGAAATGGTACTTGAAAAGATAAAAGCCATAGTACTACCTACAGAACACCTGGAATGAATTCATTAGATGCCTGCAGATAGATAAAGTGACAAAATCATTTTTCCTGCTATTAGACAAGTATTTAGGGTGTTGCACATTACTGTTTCTAACCATAGTGTGGAACCTCCTTAATTATACTGATAGCACAGTAGATGATGCAGCACTGTTAGCTCAGATGCAAAGATTCTGCTGTTCAACAGCCATCTGATCACTAGTAAAAGATGTCCAGAAAGCGGATATGGAAAGCTAAAACAGCTAGTTAAATTTTTATCGTATTGCTAGATTTTTTTCAGAAATCACTTCCCAGCCTTTTTCCATCCAGAATGTGAAAGGATGAGAAGAAGATCATACTGGGTCACACATTCATCTAGCCCTGTATCTTATCTCCTCCAGCAATGACCAGTGGAGAAGGCCCATGGAAACATCAATACAGGTCATGCAAAGTGATACGCACCCAGCCCTGCAATTTGTGATTCAGAAGCTTCCAGAGCAAAAGGTGATGGCTTTGTAGTGATAAGGACATTGCCGCAACAAATGTCAAAGATTTCTGCACACAATTTATTAAAAAGAAGTCAGTAAGAAACAGCAACTTCATTATTCCTGAAATAAATCCAATGTGTAAAAATCAGGAAACTTATGCAACTAATTTTAACAATAAAAACAGTATCAAGAGTAGTGTTTCTTCTGAACTTCTCATGCCACTTCTTTTTCAGAATGTTAGTTAAGAATAAAAACAATACAAAATCCTTATGACAGCTGAAGACGAAACCAGAGTAAAAACTGCAACAAATCTGTAATTCCTCTTTGATCATTCCAATGCAACATCTGCACTTTCTTATCAAACCAAACCACCAAAAATAATCTAAATAAACAACAGTAACAACAGAAAGAAATCCTACGACATCCCAAGGCAACACTTCTAAGGAGTCAGAATATTAGAGCATTCTAACACACCTCCACATGCATTAAGTATGTACATATTGCACGTGTAGGTGATGTGGTGTGGAATAAATACTTCATTAGCCAGAGTTTAAGTTACTGACTCATTACTCATAAACGGTATAATTTTCTTTTCTGATTTTATAAGCGTATGTATTTTAAGTGTTCCTAAATGAGTAAGAACAGAAGACGGTGGTACTTGCAGTAAAGACTTCAACTAAGGCTGCTACGTAAAGCGCTACTGAGATACACAGAAAGGAACGTGTAATTTATGGCTCTGCAACCCAGCATAATTATACTGAAGTCAAAGGGCCATGCTCAAGAGTAAATTGTTCGCCTGGTAGCAAAAGTTTGCAGAGCAGCTGCCTTCGGCAGCATTTTTAAGTTTGTATTTACAAATAAATTAACCAACTGGCTTCCAAATGTAGGTCACAAAACTTGCCCCTCAGGTGGCTACCTAATTTTCTCTCTGATTTGAAAAGACCAATAGAAATAAGAGCAAAGCGGGCATCAACCCCATCTCTCAAGCATTTTACCCTATGGAAATGAGAAATGAAAATACCATTATAGAGATGGTTTCTTGTTTGCAGCCAGCGCTAATTCTCCCCTTTTCATTTCAAAAGCAACAGGCAGGCCTAAATAAACCCACACATCTAAGACTTCAGACTGAAACACTGAAAGCACCCTTGGTTTATTTCAGCCCTGCATATTAGCATGAGCTTCATTTCAGGAGAACACTGATCTAGACGTCGGGCTTACAGCAGAGAGCCCATTCATTCCTGGAGCAGAAATAGTGCTGAGCTATAACGGGCTCTGCAGAGTCAAGAATAGCTTAGCAAGGGGAGCAGTGGACATCTCATCCACATACGTGGTGATGTCTCCTCAATTCTGAGCTATTTCAAGACTTTTTTTTTTCATGACCCTGTCAGGGAGTATGTTTTCCAAGATGCATTTGTATTTGATCAGGTGGATGGAAAAAGTGAGCCAGGAACAGCAACAGTATTATCTGAATATCTGGCAGTCATTAAATCAGAATTAAATAAATACATTAAAAGAATTTATAGACCAGCAAGGGAGATGTCTGACAAACTGATATCCAATGGAACTAAAAAAAAAAAAAAATGACTTAAAGGCAGGAACTGTAGCATCAGGGA